TATATATATATATAAAAAACTGAAAAATGCTCCACATGTGCATCCATCCCAACCAGCTGAGAAACCAACGTGCCCAGAATGAGCAAACTGGATGAAAAATGACCCTCCAATGTGCCTATATGATTTTTGGAAGTAAAGTAAAACCAATAGGGGAAAAACTGCGCCCAGTTCTGCCAAGAGCGATGTTTTTTACCTCTTATTTTGTTATCTCTATGAACCCTTGGAGTTGCAGTTACATTTCATCTTCAGCTTTCTACTGCCCTTTAAGTGTGGGACACAGCAGACACCCTACAGACCAGACCTGTGTGCTCCCTAGGGCAGCAAAAATACCCAATTCAGTGCAGGACCACTCCATAAATAATTATTTCCCACTCCATTACTCGTTCCTCTGTGTCCTGTCACCAGACAGAGCTTCTTCTCTTGCAGCATCCAGGAGATGTCCACGTCCAAAACGCCCCTCGGGAAGAACTACGCATCCTGTTAACTCACAGCTATCGAAGACAAACCCAAGCGGTATAGAATACAATGCTGGTTATTTTCAGACAAATAAAGCAGCAACAGGGATATGGCAACAGAAAAACATATACATACTACAGGCAACAGGAGTTGCAGGCCACATTAGTTCCTGCATGCGAGACCTTCGACCTTGCGAATCGACGTAAACTCCCATATGGCTGAAGCAAAGCAGGAATTCCTCATTACTGAGCTCCACAGCACAAAGGGCATCAAAAGACTGCTGGGAGAGGAAGATAAGCGAGGGGTCATTGGGATTTACCAGGTTTATAGACTGTCCATCTCCCTGGATGGGCAGCAGAGAGAACCCAGACAGGTAGCCAACACAGAGCTTGTCCTTGAACACTGCCATCCACTGCACAGTTCCCGGAGCCTGGATTTCACTGAATTTTTTGTGGAAAGGTTTAGTTCTGTGGATTTCGTAGCAGAAAACCTGGCGTTTGACAGCCACAAACAGACAAGTGGAGGAGCTCTTCCTCAGCGCCCCCGTGGTGATCAGTTGGCAGCCCTTGGTCTCCGCCAGCTTCATGTCAAAGTTGCCCTCCGAGCCGTCCAGGGAGGCCCAGGGGTACAGGTGGACGTGGTGGTTTCGGCCGCAGACCAGGATGATGATCTTCTCCTTGGGAGCCAGCTCTATCTGGTACACCTTCTTGCAGTCAGCAGCTCGGACTATCACTGCAAAGGAAAGGAGAATAAGTTAAATGGGACCAAAAAATCTAAATACAGACACACACCAGGTAAGAAAAATCACTTTTTGTTGTTAATTTTCAGAAGAAACAACCAAACAAAGCATTCCTGTAACTCTTTATGGATGGAAAGTCACGCTTTGGCAACGCTTTGCAGGGAAGGGCTGCTTAGCACTGAATAAATGGGAGGAAAAACTGATACACTGGTGTCTGTGCTATCTACACACTGCGAGACTGTGGATCTTCTGAAACTTTAGGAAAAATAACAACACTTTTACAGAGAAAAACAGAATTAGCAGAACACAAAGGGAAGAAATACAAAGCATTTAATGCTGATAATTGAGGATACAAAAGGCAAACGTCTCAGCCAATAATCAGTGTTAAACACCTACAGGGAAAGGCAAAAACTGCTGGGGCCAGGGTAAATAGGAATGGGCTTGAGCTGTGGGATGAGAAGTTTAGGACAGGCACCAGGAAAAGCCTTCTCACAGTAATGACTAATTAGGTCATCAGAACTTCCTCCTTATCTCTAACCTGAACCTCCCTTGGCACAGCTTGGTGCCGTTTCCCCTTGTTCTATCCCTCATCACCTGGGAGAAGAGCCCAGCACCCACCTCTCTGCAATCTCCCTTTAGGAAGAAGAGATTACAATTTATATAAATGCTATTAACACACAGGAAACGGCCATAGGTAACTCCTGCAAAATCTCTTCTAACTTAAAGCCCAAGTTAATAATTCCTGTTCACATTCACGTACGGCACGGCGATGCAGATAATTGTTCCTTTATGAAGTGACCTTTTGAATGAAGTGTCTAATTTGCTTCGATGCAAGAAGCTGCACTGGAATCTCTGGCATGACTTGCATCTACGCTATGTTTATGTCTGAGTACTTGCAGAACGGTGACCACTGGAGGCTCACTCCAAGGAATGGCTTTTGTTACTGCTCAAAGGCATTTCAAACATCTGCTGTCTCCACGTGTAAAGCAGTTCCTCCTGGAATTGGGCAACGGCTTTTTCTAAGCAAGAGGAAGCACCAACATTTTGTTTTTTGCCCTAAACCCACATCCCCAACGTCCTTTGACTTTGAAAGTCAGATGAGTCTTTAAAACCCTGCATCCACTGCTTCAGTTTACATTGAAATTCAAGATTCAGCATGCCTGCCATCCGAATTTCAAATAGCCACAAACTACACCACTTTGGAAAAGCTCATTAAAATTCTCCCACAGAGTCTAAATTTAAACAAATATTTTAATTTGTTTTTAAAATTTGAATGACAATGAGTACATACAGTCAATGAAGGATATTTCAGGTAACTTTTCCAAAGTAGGAAAAGGGACTCGGGCACCTTTTAATTCTACAAATCTGCATTATTGACCTCAACATCCTCAGCTCCCAGGTAGATAAAGATGTCAGAAGCACAGAAGCTCAGAGGTGATAAACACAGATCAAGAAACACCAGGTGATTTGCTGGAAACATCCAATCTGATAGGGAAGGCTGTGAGCTCTTACCCCACAACAAAGCACGGATTTAGAGTGTTGTCTACATTTGGATTTATAAAGAAGCCTGGATTTCATGAGATACGTTTGGCACTTTTGAAGTCAGAAAGAAAGAACTCATATTTCCTGTGGTAACTTGGAAGAGGATAAATAGTTGCAGGTTACTGTATTTTCAATCTGCATTGCTTCTTAGAGATATATTACTTTATTGTATTTCAAACCTGCATTGCTTCTTAGCAATACATTAATTTATTGTATTTCAAATCTGCATTGCTTCTTAGCAATACATCGCTTAACTTCTATGAACTCAGTTTAAGTCAAACAGTACTATTTCATTTTTGTGGTTCATTTGTTTGTTCAAAATAAGACTCTCTCATTTTGGAAGCAGCTGGCAAAGGAGCAGGCCTGTAAGTGTTTACTACTTGCTATAGGTGAAGGGCTGTTGTGTAACCCACGTTATACCACTGGAAGTGCTGGAGCTCGTTATTCCGTGTGTAATTACTGCACACATTCCGGCCTAACTCACCGTCACGTGTCACCTCTATCACGTACAGTCCTTCTTCTGAACCAATTGCTATTCTATCTCGATCTAAAGCAGGAAGGAAAACAAAAGGCAATTAATTCAGCTATATTTCATCTTACCTTTAAAGAAGATTGTTTGCTTTGAATGGCTGGAAAAAATTCTGGACAGATTTTCAACGGCAATCGATTTTGCTTAAGTTGCTATATTATTTAACAGAATATTATTGTTCTATTGTATTGCTAAGACAACCAGTTAAACAACCAAACAGTATCATTTACTCCAAGTGGATGAAGAAATGTGATTTATCAGTGCAAGATTAGCATTATTGGATTCCTATGAAGGAATGCAGCCGAGGAATTCAGCTCGAGGTGCCCGTGCTCTCAGGACAGAGGCCCATCCAAAAGCTCTCACACACTGACAGCACTCAGATCAACACACCTACGATGGCAGCGGCTAAGCTGGCCTTGATGAGGGGCAGCGTGCTGTCGTAGGCTTCCTGCGGGATGTGCACCACCTGGTTCTTCAGCCTGTTCTTGTGCAGGATGGACTGCAGCCCTTCCAGGATGCCGACCCACTTCCTCTTCTCGTTCTCGTTTTCCGTCAGGATCAGCAGGGAACAGGACTTGGAAGGCAAACCCAGGAGAGAGGCCGTCACCTTTTAAAGAGAAAATGCAATTAGTAAGGGTAATAAAAGACCTCTGTGGCAATATTATATCCTTCACAGAAGCCTGAACGTAAAATACACTTTATTTTTTTAAATACTCAAATTATCATTATGCAATTAAATAAATCAATAAATAATTGATAATTAAATGACCAATATATGATTAATTAAACAACATATGGCAGCAAAAGGCTTCCTGCTCCACACTGGATTTTCCATAGCACGCAATGATTTGTCCCAATGCCTCCCCACACCATTTTTTAATAACTTATGGAAAACAACACCCATGCTTTCCAACTCGGACACATTTAAATCCAAGGGCATTGCTATGATCAGCTCTAGGTTTTGATTTTACTACTTGATTTTCAACATATTTGTCCCGGGGAAGAGCACATCAGATCTGCATTGGAAGCTCTGGAGGAAAACCCTCTTCTGACACCAAAGGACTGCGACCTCCCACTTCCCCCGTGACAAGAAAGTCACAACAGCTTCACTTAATTTTTAGGGAAATAATCTTATACATCTCCAAGGAGAATGTGCTCTGAGTGAAAAAGCAATCCAGGAACTTCCTGTTGGCCGAAGCATGCACTAATAATTCTTAATATTAGTTTTGTGTCCCATATGAAGAGATTGTGGGAACTGTGAGATCGTGGGAACGGTGCTTTCAGTCCATTGGCCAGTGTCAGCCCTCACACAGGCTTGAGAATAACAGCAGTTAAACAGAAAAAAGCAGGAAAAGGTGCAAAAGTGCAAAACTGAAGGCTGTAATCATTCCTACACAAAATAAGGAATGGCTTTTATATATATGTACATATACATACAGGCTTATATATAATATAGGCTTCAGCCTGTGTAAAAAATCACCACAAAGATGGATGATGTGGCTTCACAACACACACTTCCTGAAAGAGTGAATTAAGCAGGAATATTCATCTTAAAGTTAAAAAATCCATACACAAAAATCCCAACTGAAAGTAAATTTGGGACAACAGGCTGCCAAAGACTGAACTCCAGAAGTAAGATGTACAGTAGCAGTAAAGGACCGACCGGTTTGCAATTACTCTACACCAAACCGTAACTAAACATCAATGTTAATATTTGAAAGATGGATGGAGGCACAATGCATAGTATTTCTAACTCTGAAAACAAAGCCAGATTCAGCTATGGTTTTCTCTCTGAAGCATCACTGTGTATTACTCCTCAGTCGTTTGAAGGTGGCATCTTACACGCAGTCAAATGCAGTAAGTTGGTTGTCATACACCCAGAACAATTCAGCACTAAAAAAACCCAGTGTTTGCTAGGAAACTCAAGGCTTCTTAACTCGAACTGCCAGGCTGTGGAAGGACCCCACTACAGACACTCTCAATACCATTAAAAATGTATTGATGGCAGCACTTAGACTGCAGTGTCTGGATGCCAGGATGGCCTAACATCCAGCTTTAAAAATGGGTGACCAAGAGAGGAGCTGGAGATTGAGACATGTTCTGCTGCTTCTTCATCTCATGGGGGGTAGAGGTGGGAATATCATATCATATCATATCATATCATATCATATCATATCATCTCATCTCATCTCATCTCATATCATATCATATCATATCATATCATATCATATCATATCATATCATATCATATCATATATATCATATATCATATATCATATATCATATACATTTTATTTTCTATTTTATTTTCCTTTATTTTCCTTTATCTTATTTTATTCTATCTTGTCGTATCATTCTGCTGTTGCTTTCTGTTGGTGGAAGATCCAAAAGAAACGACCACCAAGAGCATCACATGCAATGAGAAATAATACCTACGAAAGGACCACATCTTTATGATGATATAAGAGTTTTAAGCTGTGTAGAAGCCACTCTACGTGGCAAGACGCCTATCTAGAATTAAATGAAACTGAGAAAAGTGACTCTCTTGCATCAGGTATCACTGGTTTCCATAAACATGAGAGAAGAAGTGGCTTTTGGCAGCACCTCCTCTGGTCCCTGTCCACAGGGTATCCAAATCGATTCACCTCACATCAGCTCTCTTTCATAGGGGATAATATGATCAAACCATGGATATCACAGCTCATTTTCTCTCCTCACAAGTCCTTCCCCACATTGTTCCACATTTGCTAATTTAAGAGAGCAGGCAGATGGGGACTAAAAAAAACCCCAAAACATTTAGAAACAAATGAAAATGAAGGTAGAAGTGGCAGAAGGATGAAAATCCACTGCAGGAAGTGGTTCTGCAGAAAAGCAAAAGCACAGCAGCATTCAAGCAGCCAAAATATTTTTAAACAAAAGCCCCAAAGCCCAAAGACTGGGACAGGGCAGGACCGTCAGCTCTTTGCCTTCCTGGCCACTGAGTCGATCCCAAGTGTCCGAAGGTCAGAGATGCTGAAAACAGGAGAGGTTCTGCATTAAAAGGCAAGGGATGACCGACACTGGCTGTTAACATGTGTTAACTCTGCGTTTTAAAACTTCAGGTTAAATAGAAAACCCAGGAAAGGAGTTCCTGTTGTTAAAGACTAAGTCATGCAGCATTCAGAGAGAACATCCATCCAAGATGAGGTTGTAACGAAGGTAATTATTTTCTCTTATTTAAATCTTTTCTACTGAACTATGAATTTAAGGAAATTGAAATTTCTAATGTCCTTTTTGATACAAGGCAATAAAAAGCAAACTACAATCAGCACAAGGCAGCTTCAGCCTCATTTGTGACAGTGTCAGTTCCTAAAGCTGGAGCTTTCCACAGGAAAACCAGGTTGCGGTAAGAGAAATGGAAGAGGAGCCAAAACTAAACTAAAGCAACCGAATTATAGCCAAGAAAATATCAGAAAGGCAAATGAAAACAGCACGCTGGTTTTTAACTCGTATTCTCTTCAGGAGCAAATTGGCAGCCATACCCTGAATATACACGGGATGTCTTTGCGAGTCGCGTGGATCACGTCCGACGCCAGGACAGAGCTGACGCAAAAATCTTCATCTCTAGCAAGAAAGAGAGCAGGAGGATTAACACACATTGATACTACCCAGCAAAATCTAATCAAGACCACAACCGTTTTAATTGGCTGCCGTCTCCTAACACCGCACAGAGGTCACCACTGCTGGGCTATGCTCTAAGCATCCTCGACCCAAAAAACTTTGACCCAAGCTTTAAGTTTCTACAGCATTTGGAAGGTGTAACCGAGTCCACCTGAAGTTACACGGGGCGGTTTTGGGGAGTTTTGGGTTGCCAACCACATCTAGTTTACAATCAGCAGCAAGAATATTGCTCTTCCAGCCCTGCAGACACATTAGAAACGAGTAATTCACACCTCGACGTGCAGCAAGAGAGGGGCCTTTGGGAAAAAAGAAAAAGGACATTAAAAAGCTCTTGGCAACGTCACTGTAGTTTGTGGGACTCAAATTGGGGTTTGCAAACCAGCCTGATTTTATTCTCTATTCCAGTAAAATCAACAGACAACTTCTGCGCTTCAGAGCGCTCCTCCCCAGCGGGCCTGCGTCCACAGGCGTTTTGAAACTAAATGTGACCAAGCTGATCAGCGTAATGGCCAATTTTAGTGTAAAGATGACACTAATGCCTGGAACTTGCCCATAAAATTCAGAGAAATGGTGGTTAATGCCTATTAAATATCTAAGAGTCCTCAGAAGATGGACTAAATAAGCTACAATAAGCCAATAAAGCACAGGACAGCAGGGGCACCAAGCATTGCACTGATGTGAATGCTTTTATTTGCAGTATTTTGATGGTTTTGCTGCTGCTGTTTCTGCTGACACTGGTGGTTCTCAGAGAATAAATGTGGGAGAAAACCAGCGGTACTGGTGCGAGCCCACAGCACTGCTGTCTGGAAAAATACTACAAATGAAGGCACTTGTGAACGCAAACTTGATACTCAACAGAGATCAAAGGTGCTGGAACATTAGGAGGTATTAGACTTTCTTGATATTTCCATAAATTGAAATAAAAACCTTCTTGGTTCCTCTGATCAGTGAAAGTCTCAGATCTTTTGTAGATGGTGTTGAGTGGTTCAAAAGGCTCACTATGAAAAAACGACTCCTGTGAGAAGGCAGGAGGCACTCACACTGCAAATTGGTTGCTGCTTTATGGAGACTATTTAATTTTTTAATGATGTTCCCAAAATGACTGGCTATGGGATGATCTGGGACTCAGTGCTGAGGTGAGGGCGCAGGAGAAAATCCAATCTACCAAATTTTATCTGCTTTCCACGTATGCACATGGGAATTTCAGGACATGGTTTAGTGGCCATGGTGGGGTTGGGTTGACGCTGGGCTTGATCTTAGAGGTCTCTTCCAACCTCAGTGCCTCTGTGATTCTGAGAATTCTAGGAGGAAGCATGCTAATACTGGAAACATCAGTGATTGCAGTATAAATGACTATAAAATCACTTCAGTGACTTCTTGTTGAGCCAACTCGGCCTAAACTTCACTGCAGCCTGTATTTGAGACCACACAGGTCTTCAGTGCGTTCACACACTGCTCTCTTGCGTACTACAAATATTCCTGCTAGAGAAAATACAAAGCATTTCTACTCTGTCATAGTAATACAAACCTGAGATCCAAGACTTGACTTGCAACAACTCCTGGCTGGGTGGATTTTCCTTCAGGCACATCGTACAGGAAGAGTTTACAGTCGCAGACAACTGCGTAAGCCCTCTGCCACCCTTTCTTAACTCCGGTGGGCTTTGGGACCTGCGGAGAAATAACTGATTGCTTATTAAATGTGAGCACATGCAGCAGACACAGAAAGCAGGACATTTAGAAAGGCTTACACGTAGCTCAACGGACTTAGAACACGTTCTACTTGCCCTTCAGAATGGAGTGAAAAATGTCAAGTAATCAAGCAATCATTTTTACCTCCCTTAAGTTCACCCATTCCCTGCTACAGTTTAATAAATGCATTAGGTAGTATGAGGACAGCGGGGCTTGTATGTTCCACAAATGCCAAAATGGTAGCACGGTTTACCTTTTATATTATGCTTACATCAAGAATGACAGAAGTTCTTCCTTACACCATGCTTCTTCCCCACTTCGTGCTGCTTATGAGCACTGAAGCTACTGAGCTACGGACCTTTAACTCTCGTAGCAAACCCAACCTTTTCTCCAACATCTAAAGCAACGGAGCTTCAAGAAGTTACACAGACGGCACAAAAAGCCTTAAGGCCAATTTAGGAGATCTGTTTTAACATACTAAGAGGTTCCACGCTGCATAGATATAAGTGAGGTTTAATATTCTCCAATTGCCCAAGAAGAAAACACCATTACCTTGACGTAACCTTTATAGGCGGTGCCTATTCCTCTTTGCACATCTACTCCGAGAGGCCTTTTGGCTTGCTCAGGGGGTATGGGGCAGACCTGGGGTGCGCTATCCTTGCAGGAAACATGGCATGCAAATGAACACACTGAGTACAAAAGAGAAAATGCACAGTGAAATGCGAGTACGAGGCAGCCGGAACAGGAGATTCCCGCGCTCTGCCCTTACGCTGGGCAAGGTAATTCATCACCCTGACACTGCCCATCAAATATTGCAACAGCCACGATGCTCAAGGAGTGAACACACCCAGATATTGTGTGAGATGCTCCAAAGTGCTTTCATTTTATCTTTTTTTTCTTTATTCTTTTTTTAATTTTTTCTTTTATTTCCACAAAGGGCAGGAACTGAGTCCACATTTCAAGGCAACTTATGAAAGCGTTTTCCAGAAGGAAAAGGAGCTGGGCAGCCTCGCTGGTGTTAATCATCAAATAACCCAGGCATTGAAGAGAAAAAGCTTTCTTAAAGGAGGAATAGAAATGATGGGGCAGCAATAGGAGACGAGATAAATAGAGAAGGTGTTTAATTTTGTGCAAGTATGCAAGAGTACTGCAAAGAAAGTAAAACTAAACTGACCAAAAATAGAATGGGTTAAACTATTAACCACAGGCAATAGACTTGAAAACACAGTAAACAGAAACCAGGGGACAAGGACTGCAATGCTGTGTGGTGAAAGGGGCAGATTATCTATCTATCTATCTACCTATCTATCTATCCATCCATCCATCTATCCATCCATCCACCTATCCATCTACTCATCCATCCATCCATCTATCCATCCATCCATCTATCCATCCATCCATCTATCCATCTATCCATCTATCCATCCATCTATCCATCCATCCATCTATCCATCCATCCATCTATCCATCCATCCATCTATCCATCTATTCATCCATCCATCCATCTATCCATCCTTCTATCCATCTATCCATCCATCCATCCATCTATCCATCTATCCATCCATCCATCCATCTATCCATCTATCCATCTATTTATCCATCCACCTATCCATCTATTCACCCATCTACCTATCCACCTATTCATCCATCCATCTATCCATCTATCCATCTATTTATCCATCCACCTATCCATCTATTCACCCATCTACCTATCCACCTATTCATCCATCCATCTATCCATCTATCCATCCATCTATCTATCCATCCACCTATCCATCTATTTACCCATCCACCTATCCACCTATTCATCCATCCATCCATCTACCTATCCATCCATCCATCTATTCATCTATCCATCCATCCATCCATCCATCTATCCATCCATCCATCCATCTATCTACATCTTGGAGTTCAAATAAGGAGCAAATATCTATACTAACTATTGCATCCTTTCTTACCACTTGCATCACTTTGTGCTGCACCACCAAGGGCCAGAGGTCTCTTGCCTACAGAGCACCTCACTACACAAAAATCTCAGAGTATACGCCACTTTACATGAGAAAACAAGAACTGTGGAATAAATTAACACCTTATATTGAGGCACCTGACCCACAGCTTATGGGCCAGATCTTTCCACAGAGATTTATAATTACAGATTATTTGGGACTGTGCATATCAAGGCACACCAGTGAGGGAACAGGGAAAATCCACAGGATAGAGCCAGCTCCACAGGTTTCTGCAGGAGCAGCTGTATTTCACCATAGCCTCCAGCATTAAAAAAGAGGAGGAATTGGGAAAAGCAAGAGACTGGGAGTGGAGCATGGCAAAGTTGTGTTCTGCTGGAGTTATCTCTATGCTTATGTCAGTGTGATTCAGGTTTTTTCAGTCGTTATGGCAAACTGGATGATGAAGATGAAGGTGTCAGTGGAGTGGGTGCCACAGCAAGAGCTAAGCTGGGCACAGAAATACAATAAAGTTATTGACACTGCACTGTCTTGAGCAGATTTGTGGACTACTCACTGGCTTCGTGTGTCTGACCAAGAGAGAGAGAAGCATTTTCAATGAAAAATCCCTCCCCATACTCAACCACAGAACTCAAATCAGAGAAAGCAATTTAAACAGAACCAATGGGCAGCACAGCAGGCTGCAGGCCGAAAATACCCCAGCAAATGCTCTGCACAACACAGAGGGTTTATGATCAGGACAGCACAAAATAGAGAGATTCACGTTAGCAGAGCATTCTCAGTCTTTTTATCTGCATTACACAAACAGAAAACACTTTCCCCCATGCCCAGTCCACACTATAAAAGTAGAATTAATTAGTAGTGTGACAGGGAACCGTGAGGGCTTATATTAAAGTTTTTACTTTGGAAGTATGAACATGCAAAAGAAAGCAAAGAAACATTCAGTGGTGGTCCCCCTCTCTTCCACTCCCTCCCCAAAAATTGGTTGCTTTGAACTACATGAGGGTTTTGGGATGGTTTTTTAGGGTCTTGCTGGAACTCTGGGAAGCAGAACCGACTCACCGTCACAGGCATACCCTTGTCGAACCAATCCCACCATGAGAGAGGTGCAGTGACTGCACTGGGTAGGGCTTGTGAATGACTTGATATTGAGCTGGTGAGCTCTGGGCTGCAAGATACATTCGGGAAAGAGAAATAAATGCAACTTTTCACTTGGACTCACATAATGCCGGCATCTCCCCTCACCACCCTCCAGTACATCAGTGTGTGCATCGTAAAACCCGGGCTGCTTTTAAGTAAGTGCAGCTTGTGTCCACTCAAACCCAAACCTACAGCCAAAAATTATCCCTGCCATCCCTTCTGATAAATCAACACTCCTCAATAGGCATTCTGGAAACATCTGATTAACAACGCAGACCTAACGAACAAAAAACACCTGACAAACCCACACACAGCAACAACAACAACAACAACAAACACGAAGGGCTAATTTATAAACGGTATTTTTTCTTTTTTCTGTAGAATAAGGTTAGCACAGTCCCCCTACCTTTGGTACAGCTAGAGAAATGGATTGAATGGTGGGGGAGGGAGCAGCAGGCATCCTCTGAAGCCGAATTGGTTCCTGAATCACAAGAAACTGTCATTGAGCAAAACGAGGCTTCAAGAATTTGTTTTAAAATCGGGCTGGCAAAGCTTATTGATTTTCTGATTTTTTACTCTTTTCATTTATTTATTTATTTATTTAATTTTAAATTACCGAAAATTTAATTGTCGCAAACATCTGATTGAATAGAAAAGAGACCGTGTTTGAAAGCGCTCACAGGAAAGCCTGCACACTAACGAACAAGCAGCGATACAGAAAACGTGGAGAGAATGAGGAACATCCACACAGGGAGAGGCAGCAGCAAGGCTTCATTTGCAACTGTCCTCAAAGCAGGCGCAGTGAACACGCGTTGCAAATAAGCAACATTCAATCCTGCTTCTTCAGAACGAATACTGCCATGTGTGTTGATCATGACCAAGACAGAGACTGTCTAACGAGTCACTCTTTGGAGTACAATAACAGCTCCCTTACTTCTTGCTGTTGCTCTGCAGTTACCACTGAAGTAGAGGGCGAGACTTCTGACTTGGGACCCTGCGTGTCCTGTTCGCTGATGGAGCTGGTCTGCAACAGAGGCAGTAAATAGGTCCAGTTAGGTACCACTGATCTGATGAAACGTTATCAGCGCAACAAAACGGCGTTTCAAGGCGGTTACAGCCAACAACTCACAGTTAAAATGAGAAACGACGCTGATTTCTAGATGTACACACGTACAGCTAACACCTTCCCACATTGCCCCTCCGAACAAACCCTGCTGCCCGATGGAAAAGCTGTAAAGCTGGAAGTACGGGGATGCAAAACCTCGTAGCAGGCAGCACAAATGCTGTACACGGCTGCTTTTTCCCAGCGTGGCTGTGTCTAATCTCCTGCGTGCAGGTAGGGAATGGTGTCTGCGGAGCCTGGCAACCATCCATAAACCAGCTTTTTCTAGCACACAGCAGCCAGCACTTCCACTACGAGGAAAACTCCTCAAGTAGCACTACACGATCTCTTAAAAATTAAAAAACTGTTTCAAAGCGGTTGGCGATTTTATTAACGCCTCTGCTATTAAAATAATCACACCCACTTAATCACACTGTTTTCTATGTCACTAAAATGTAAGACTAGCATCCATCACAAGCCTTCTACTCGTTTCACAGTGATGTTAGCAGCTACTAATTGGCAGCACAAGGGAGAAGTATGCTACAAGCCCACAACTACAGAAAGGAGCTGGGTGTGAGTTGGGACAGGGCATTACTGCGCTCCGAGGACATCATGAAAATCGTGATTGATGAACATCAGCTCAGACTTCACATAAATGATGTCACTAACACCAAAGGCAACGAGCAATGAATCACTCACTTCCCAGCCAGTTTAGACACGGAGATGGCTCGAGTTCAGTTAGCTCACTAAACAGTTTGTTATTTATTTTTGGTATGAATTGATCGGTAAGGCCGGGCCACTGAAGATCAAATCACACCATGATGTAGTATGAACTATTTCAAAACGCTAAGCGTGATTCAGCTTTAGTCATATAGTCAAAATACAATAGCAAGCCTGTAAAGAGGTTTTAAAAGAAAACTAAACTACCTCTATTGAGTGGATCAAGTTATGGAGAAGTTAAGGAAGCAGACATCTAGTTTTAGAAGGCCATTTTTACTATGACAGGTCACAACAAAATAAGGAGACAAAACTACTGGCAAAAACTTACTTCTTCCCAAAAGGCTAGCAGAGAAGATGTAGACGAAGAAGAAACAGAATCCTTTGTTGTAAGGGATATGAGGGATAAAAACGATCACTTATCACCCACAGGAAAACTTCAGATGGAATATTAGCAGGCTGGCTACACACAGTGTTTGATACGGCCACATGGTATTGACTCAAACTAAACCAACCCACAGCAGATGACACGGGCGAGCTTTGTAAGTACACGTGAAAACAAGTTGTCATTGGAAGTCGTTAAGTCCAGTACAGTACCAGCGATTTTAATGTAATTCATCAGAAAATGCCACCTGCACTTCCATATATATACATAAATAAATAAATATATAAATATA